TTATTGACGCTTACCTGGGTATTTCCGTTGTTGCCTGTATATTCAGTATCAGGAATGCCTGTCTCACCGTACATAATAATAAAGGCATCAGGAGATGAATCCGCTATATCACTGCAACCTTGAACCGCTATCTACAGAGTTGAGTGCAAATAAGTATATCCTGGTTATATTACAAATATTACACATATAATATAGAGTTATATAATTTGGTGACACCATGCGTTAAGATTTATCTACATAGTTGCAAAACAACTTCTCCATACATTTGCTGACATTACAACATTATTTAAACATAATAACTATTGTTGATTGGTCTGTTTGTAAATTGATGATAATCCGCGTAATCATTTCATGTAGAAATAATTGTCCAAATCAAACTGTTATTAAAACTGAAAACTTGTCTAAAACGGTCATCATTTTCCCTTCCCATGTTCATATGTTTTAGAGCATCAATATGTACCCAACAGTTTCGTTCGTGTAACTATGAGTTGCCCCAGTTTGTATGACTTGACCACACATACTTGTATATTATTCTTATATGTTAACTTACCGCACGAATTAGCGTCATTGCTAAAAGGTCAATAGTCAGTTTATCGCCATTGTGTTTCGGCATCCAACACCCAGATCCTTTAAAAGATATTGAGAAAATATCAATGTAATATTTTTTTTAAATAAATCATTCATACTCATACGTATATGTCATATAGTTTGTAATGCTTACCTAGAGTGTTTTTTAGTCGGGCATGCAGCGCACCGTACATTATTACGTCATCATTGTAAACAGAGTCAACCATTATGTTGTCATCACTTATGTCCTTGGTTTCCATTCCCAACGGTTCTGTGGATGACATCATCAAAATAAACCAATATGTGTTATAAAACACGAGAGTTTATAAAGTGTAATTAAAGTGTCCGAGCCAGGGTGATGATTTTTTTAGATCTTATATACATTGCTTCTTACGTCAACGTTGATGATGTACTTTAAATACACCGTCCAAAACGAGGACTATTATTTAGTCCGTCTGTTCGGAGACATATCTCAGACACTCATTGACCTATCTCACTCAAACTTCACACAAAAACAGTACGTCTTACAGACGCGTTGTTTTATTTGAAGATCGGAACAAAAATGGCCGACTAGTGGTCATTTTGGACATATAATTTGCTATTTTTGATTCTCAAACGTGTCAGCAGCTGTTTCGTGGAAATGACTACGACGATTTGGATCAAAGGTGGTATGATGATCATACATTTTAGGTCACATTTTCGTGATTCGAACAAATTTCGCCGACTGGTGGCCATTTTGTTACATAATCCCCCTTTTTTCTCACATACATTTTTACAGATTTATTTAACTTAGTACATGGATAGTATGAATGAAGACACATAAGCACCATTTTTTTACGATTCAATTCAACGGTCAATGTTGATGAAAAAAATGCTAAATCATCATTGTTAGGTATCAGAAGCTGTTTTCATAGTTCAATGAAACTTGGTGCGTTTATTGTTTCGGAATTCATAAAAGCTGCGTCTTGTGCCAAATGCTTTTCTAAACAAAGTGCCACAATGGGCCATTATTACTAACTGGTTTCAACTACATATACATTTAACGCGCCCAGTCATTACACAATAACATTGTTATTACTCGATTTTAATTCAGAATGAACTATTCCAACAAAACAAGTGAAACATCCAGCATCAAAGTTTCTTGCATGTTGTACTGTAATCAAGATTACAAATAATTGGTAGTCGTGTTGGTTTTATTTTCATATGTCCCTTGAACATGCTTGAGCAGTATGGGTAACGAAGACGACATAATATGACTTAAGCTAACAGGGATATCAAAGGAAATTACCTTGATGCACTGTCTCTATATGCTAAAAGCCATTTTATAAATTTTATCCTCAGAAGATGGGTGCAGCTTATTTACAATGTAAGGTTCTGCAATAGTATACATGTACATTTTTTTTATTTTTATCTCTGACAAACTGCAATATTTAATTATGATCTACGTCTGTCGTTGTTTTTTAATTGACACAGTAATTAAAAATTGGACGGGGACTATTGACAATGACTTGAGTTGATATTTCTTAGTTACGATTTACTACAGATTTTATTACATGGCTAATGCTATGCTTGATTTCTCACAATTCAAAGCAAAGTGCTGTACAGTTTAGCCGTTGTCGCTACAATAAATAACAACAATTCAGCGCACCAAATATGTATACTAACAATATTGTACTTTCAATGTCTTGGTGATTAAAATTATTGCAAATTTATAATATACATTTTCTAAAATATTTCTTCCTGATAGTACATCAGTGAAGAAGTGCATGTTGAATAAAATGCTTATTCACCTACAGACTGATTTTTGTTTTCAAGGGAAGTAGTATATAGGTATACTAGCAGATGAGTTCCTTTGGAAGTACTTTGAACGAAATAACTCATAAAACAACCACATATTGCAGTTTAATCATCATACCTTTCTACAAAGTGTCGTTGAAACATGTCAAAACATGTCTGCGTAATTCATAACCAATAGTCAAAGTAGTATGTGTAGTACAAAGTCGGGACTTCCTTTTTGTTTTACAAACAAAAATATAAGTATGTCAGTGCGCATGCTCGCAACAGGTGTGCCACGTTAGCTCGTCGCTGCGAACTCTCTGTTCTACAATATTTTCAATGAACTAACTTTATAGCTTGTAACTTAGTGCTTTACCTAACAGTACGCAGAAATGGGGGACCGTCCGCGTCGTGATAAAAAGAAGGGCAAATCTGCTACAAACAACGAAACAACGTCATGCTATTTTCAAGATGTTCATGGCGACAATGACATTCTGCCCGATACACCTGGAACAGGGGATGAACATGAAACTGTGAGTAATCTTTCTCTTGCCAATATGAAGTCCCTAATGAAGTCATGTCTATGTGAATTGGAGAAAGAAGTTTCTGGTATTACTGCCACCACGTCATCTATTTTAAAGGAACAAAAAAAATTTCAGAACGAGTGGCCGTTGTTGAAAACAGGTGTACAGATTTTGAGATTCATTACAGTTCACATGCCAGGACGTGGACAACGTAAAAAGTGCTGTCCAAAGT